CTCTCGCTCTCTCTCTCTCTCCCTCTCTCTCTCTCTCTCTCTCTCTCTCTCTCAGAGATGGCATGTATTTCACTGACGCGTGGATCAGTCGTATCAAACCTGATGTTGGAGACAACTGGAGGTTAAAGGTGTTCATCCGCTCGCAGTCACTCTTGTGTTCGGTTCACTCGTCTTACAGGGACTTTTATTTTTCATGTTTGTTTGTTTGTTTTTTCAGATCAGCAATTTAAAGAAGATATTGAAAGGTATTCTGGATTACAACCATGAGGTGAGACGCATGTGTCTGTGTGATCCTGTCTATGTTGGTGTATGTAATAGTCATATGATTCTTTGTTGAACTGAGCCGTCTCCTCTCTGTCCGTCTGTGCTTCTGCAGGTGTTGGGGCAGCAGATCAGTGACTTCACTCTTCCAGACGTCAGTCTCATCGCAGAGCATTCAGATTCAGCTGAACTGGGCCGAATGTTGCAGCTCATCCTGGGCTGCGCTGTTAACTGCGAACAGAAGCAAGGTGTGTGTGTGTGTGTGTGTGTTATTGTGTGTGTGTGTGTCATTGTGTGTGTGTGTGTGTTATTGAGTGTGTGTGTGATTGTGTGTGTGTGTGTGTGTGAGTGAGTGTGTTATAGTGTGTGTGTGTGAGTGTGTGTGTGTGAGTGTGTGTGTGTGAGTGTGTGTGTGTGAGTGTGTGTGTGTGAGTGTGTGTGTGTGAGTGTGTGTGTGTGAGTGTGTGTGTGTGAGTGTGTGTGTGTGAGTGTGTGTGTGTGAGTGTGTGTGTGTGAGTGTGTGTGTGTGAGTGTGTGTGTGTGAGTGTGTGTGTGTGAGTGTGTGTGTGTGAGTGTGTGTGTGTGAGTGTGTGTGTGTGAGTGTGTGTGTGTGAGTGTGTGTGTGTGAGTGTGTGTGTGTGAGTGTGTGTGTGTGAGTGTGTGTGTGTGAGTGTGTGTGTGTGAGTGTGTGTGTGTGAGTGTGTGTGTGTGAGTGTGTGTGTGTGAGTGTGTGTGTGTGAGTGTGTGTGTGTGAGTGTGTGTGTGTGAGTGTGTGTGTGTGAGTGTGTGTGTGTGAGTGTGTGTGTGTGAGTGTGTGTGTGTGAGTGTGTGTGTGTGAGTGTGTGTGTGTGTGTTATTGTGTGTGTGTGTGTTATTGTGTGTGTGTGTGTGTTATTGAGTGTGTGTGTTATTGTGTGTGTGTGTGTGTGTGAGTGAGTGTGTTATAGTGTGTGTGTGTGAGTGAGTGTGTGTGTGTGAGTGAGTGTGTGTGTGAGTGTGTTATAGTGAGTGTGTGTGTTGTCCCTTTTCATCTCAAACCACATAGACTTTATATCAGACAATTGCTGGACTTGAAGGTGGCGCTCGCCATGATCTGGCGACACATCTCTAAATGGCTCTGGCCATACATCTCGGAGAACTAGATCATCCACGTATGGAGGCTGACTCTTTGGAGAAGACGATCGGGATGCATTCTCTGACGTGGGTGCATCTACTTCCATTCCAGCTTCATTCAGATGTTTAGCTGATGGCACTCTCTTCACAAAGCCTGATCCATGAACTTGATAGTCTGCTAGATGTGCAGGCGGCTTTATTTGTCGTCTAGGTCGGACAACAGGAGGATCTGACTCAGAACGGGATGTCATCTCTCTACAGTGATTCACTAATCCGGCTCGAAGGACCACTTGAAGTGAAGGGTTCGTTGGTTGTAGTATGGGGGTGTGAAACACAGTAGGCAGTCTGTCAGGACTGAGTGAGATGGTTTCTTAATTGAAGAGAAGCACTCAATCGAGTTGGTTGATGTCTGATTTACTGAAAGCTTTGTGGGTATACATGGATACATGGATGTGAAATGGATTAAACAAGAGAAATAAACTTAATTATATAAATATACAAATGTTCCACAATAAACATTAAAACATTAAAACACACCCAATATAAATATAACCATGCTATATTACACTATTTAACATGGGCGCTTATGCTCTAAATGTCCACAAGTGGCGCTATCCGCACATGAATGCAGTACGAGGGCAGGGTAACATGCCTGGATATGGACTAATTGGATGATTGCTACATGCAAACAAGAACCGTCGCATAACGCGCACACACAATGATAAGGTTAATATTCAATAATAACACAATGTACAGCATATAAGTATCTCACAACGAGGAAGATCACCGAAATCCTCGCGAATGCACTGAATCGAGCAGGCAATACAGGCAGCGCCATGCCAACCGGCCACTCCTCAATCGGTACAAGAACAACAGCTGATCACTTACTTCACATGTACGCACACTGTAACCCAGTATAAACTCGAAGTCAATGTGGTCTTTAAAGTAACTCTGAATGAACTAGAATACCGCTGCCAAACTCTATCTTCTCACATTTGCTGTGTCTCTCTTTAGCCTGTGATTCAGCTCCGCCTTCCGTGGTGACATTGCAGCCGCGCTGAACATTCTGATTGGTCAGAATAATCCGTGACTTAGAGACAGCCGAGCCTTTTGTACAACAGTATTTACTGAAGGGGTAATCCACAAATGTAATCCAAAAACAGGCAAAGGTCACACACAATAAATAATCCAAACAAAGACAGAGTTCGGGGCTGAGGCAAACAGAGAAGTCCACGATAAGGGAATCAAAAACCAGGAACCAAGACATGGGCGAACCTGGATAAAAGGCTAGGAAATGCAGTTGTGACACACACAAGACTTAGCAATGACTGACAGAGAGAACTGGGCTTATATAGGGTGAGCTAACAAGGCTAATGAGACACAGGTGCAAACAATGAGTGCTGCTGAGACCAGGCAGAGGATTATGGGGAATGAAGTCCTTGATAGAGTGGCAGTAGTCTGGGATGGAGTGCCCTCTGGTGTCCATCAAGGGCACTCCAGCTGGTGTTTGTGACAATATCACATTTGCCTTTAGGGTTTAGGTTTAGGGTTGGGTTTAGCGAAGGTGCTAAGTTATTTTCAAACTCGATAGAGCATTAACCTTTTAGCGCCACTCATCACATTTACAGTTACTATTTCTCCCATTCATATACAACAGGTCCATCTCCTACAAGTGGCTTTTAGCATTACTCCCCTTATAATATCTCAGACCACACTACTGAAGTATGTAGTTGGTATGCTTTGAGAGTTTATACACTGCAGCCATCACCATTCAGCAGCTTCGTTTGCTCTTCCTTGTCCTCCTCTCATGTCTCACCATCTTTCTCTTTACCTCCCCTCTCTCATTTGTCTACACCAAGCAGTGACGGCTTATGTAACAGCTCCAAACTTAGCTTCCTATTTGAACGACATGTTACATTTCAGTTTTTTTTTCTTCCATTACATGACTCATTTTAGTTATTACCGTTTGACAAAGAGAACAAGATGATGGGGAGGGCTGATCTGATGGAAGCAAGAGAGAAAGATCGAGAATAAGAGGAAAACGAGAGAAGTGGAAGAGAAAATAAGGATTCAATTATTTAGTCTCTACAGAGTGAGTCTGACCCAGATGAGGCTTTTGGCACTATTCATAGGCCAGAGGTGCATGATGCTTCATGGGGGCTG